TTAGTGGTATTGCGCTTGTAGTATATAGTAAAGAAATCTCCTAGATTTGGGGACATCAATATTTGGTATAGATAAAAACTAAATTAGATTCTAGCTATATTTAAGAATTTATTATCCATTAAACTAGTACAGAGCCCGTGCGATGCACGGGGTGCACAATTGTAAGGTTATTTATCCAGCTTTACTATTATATAAATGAATAAAAAAATATAGGAGATATATATAGTACGGGACCTGTGCGAGACACGTGATATATTTATTTGGGGAATATTATATTATAAGATGCAATATTCAATAAAAGTTTTATAATACGCTGGAAAATTATACAATAAAATAGTATTCGACAAAGAAACAATCATATATTATTAAAGACTCCTTGTACATAGATATCAAATAATTTTTTAGTAAAATAGTGTAAATTTATTACAATAACAAAACAACATGCTCACGGATTAGTAAAAATACTTCATGGATTGAAGATTTAATGAGATTAAACATTTAAATTAATTAATTTAGATAATTTAAAATTAGATAATTCAAAAGCCTTCCAACATTATTTTTAATTTAATATATTACAGCATGGGTATACTTTAAATATATTAATATTTAGGAACTTTAACAACATAGTTTTCAAAAAATTGTTTTAGGGAACTTTAAACAGCATATTTACGTCACTCATAAAACATATTATATTTCAACAACATAGTTATAATATTATTTAAGGAACTTGAAACAACATTGTTAAATATTTCATCCACCCATTAATTTTTTGTAAGTCGAAGGTAATTAAACTCGTGCCTTTTTTTGTTTGTTTGTTCAACTATTTGACAAAACTGATGTCATGGATAAAACAATTAAATAATACTAAATAATATGCTTATACAGATATAGAATGCATATAATTCTTTCATGTCAAACAACGCGATTTCAAAATTGACTCAGATCCAGCAAGCCTATCCAATATTTCATTAAAATAAATATTAAATAAAATATTTTAAACAGAAATTAGATAAGAAATTAAATAAGGAATTTTGACTCTGCCTTTTTTTAGTATAGATAAACTTTATGTAC